ATAATGAATTCTTGGAAATAAGGGGTCTGTCTACAAAATGCATGTGGACATTGAATAGATGTCCAACAGTAGGTCTACTGTCCACAGGAGAATTGTAAGTGATATTCTGTCACGGAAGACCAGCAGAAGGACTTCTGTGGATAAAAACCTGTAAGATATCATGGGCAAGGTCTTTTATACACAGAGAAATTGCCCCGTTTCCCGCTATGCCACCCTCGTTGCATTTGGAATTACAGCACCACGTTCCAATTGGTAAATAAAATTAATAATTCTTAATTCTGATTTGAAAATTAAACAAGAAGAAGAAAAGAAGTACAAAAAAGTATATATAGATGGCCGCATAGTTATAAGGCCATACGCAAACCTTATGGTCGCAGCAGAGTTGGTGGTGGTGATAGTAGTTGCTTGGTGTTACGGCGACGGCCTTCGTGGATGTGTCAGGCATATCAAATGACCAACGGATCAGCCTTAAGGCAGTCAAGGCAGCCGAAGAACGCACAATCCCGGACCCACTTGCTACTTGGTAGTATTTTTGTTGTTGTTGTTGGTTGTGTTGACAATCCGCGCAGGCCATGAGTGGCCACTTAAGTGGCAATTTAAGTGAAGTAATTTCTTTTTATTCTTTCCTATACACCAGCAATTATGCATACATATGTATGTACAATTGTTTTGTTAGCATGTACGTACGTATGTATGTCCATTGCTTAGTCAATCATCAACAGCAGCAGCAGCATGATCAGCATGAACATCAACAAACGATCGCCAGCCAGTCACACACCAAGGAATTTATGGCCTTGTCATGGGTTATAGTTTTTATTTTTCTTTCAGGTTCTTACTTTCCCACACTTTCGACAAGTATGTCTTTGGAACGAACCAAGCCGAAGTGTTGGAGTGAGTTTTGGGGAGGAGGAGGAGGGTTTTGCTTACGACCGTTTGACACACCCAGCCTAAGTGGAATACCGAATACTACTTCTTGAGGCTCATTGGTATGCCAAAAACGTTAAGGTAATGTTTTTGTTTTTCTTTCTTTCTCTTTTCTTTCTTTTGGATTGCTTGGGAGGAGGGAGGGGGCGCATGCCCACAAAACGGCAATGATGTTGAATGTCATGCGACGTTTGCGACAATGTTTGGAAGGGCCTTGAGTGATGAACGCTGATCGTCGTCACCATCATCATCATTGATGATCACTTTAACGGATTTGGAAATTTCACTAGCGGTACTCTTATGAAGCGGCTACTAGTTGTTTATTGCAACACGTGCGTACTCGTACTTCTAGTACATTGTGTAGTTATGGGATTTTTGAAGACTCCGCCAAAAATGTAAATAAAAAACAAACGGTAAACAGCAACAAGCCAACAATTAAGGTCACCTTGAGTGATTGTTTTGATACTTCGTTTTAATTTTTTTATGAGCAGCGAGTGAGCCACATAAACATACATATATTTAGCAGCCAACGTTTGATGTTTGTCTGCGACATTATCAGAACTTTACTATCAACGGCACACAACATCGTTCATTGATGTTCCCAAAGATCTTGAGGGGAATTCCAAAATTAAAGTGACATCGAAAAGAAGAAGACGAGCCAAAAGACGCAATATCAAAAAAGAAAGAAGAAATAATAACAAACTACGCATATTATTATTTATGCGATGTCAAACATCAAGCAATTATTTTAATGGCTCCACTGTCTGTCAATGACTCATCGAAGTTATCAATAACATGTCGAATATCCGCGTCTCAATCAATGTGAAGTTGTTCCCCATCAAATATTCTGATGACATGGAGTCACGGAACTGAGTAATGAAAAAATATTTCGCAATAAATGCAATTTATACAGCAGAGAACATTAAAAACAGAAATTACTAGAATCGTAAAATTTGAAATATTTCTAGGTTCGTAGAAAATTATTATTTCGAATAACTGTGGATTTATCTCTAATAAATATTTAAAATTTCCCCCAGAGTAAGAAGTCGTGTTTAGGGTTTGGAAATTTATATTACTAAGCATCTCTGAAATCGTCCATAAAATTATTATCGAGGAATCAATCTGAATTACAACAAAATCATCTGAACTATAATAAAGTAATCTTCCTGGACTCTAACCTCCCTTTTTGTAACTCAAGATAGACAACTATAATATTTTGTTCTACCACTTCTAACTTGGCTTACTAGACCACTAAGAATGTTTTCGAATAGCCTCTGTACAAATCGCCTTAAAAAGTATTATTAATTAGGGTATATAAATGGGAAATTTAAACCCAAAAGATCTTCTATCCATAAAAGATATAGAGGAGAAACTCTGCCATTAAAAGTCTTATAAGAAGAAGTATAAGTTATATCTATAGAATACGACTTATTTTGTAGACAACACCTGCAAATGACTTTTTGTCACTTAAAAATATAAAAAAACTACCATTCCCAGAAGTCCCGTAGTAGATCTATAGAAGACCGTAGAAGGTTTTTTGTCCAAAGAAGACATTTTAAAGGTATTTTTTCTACAGAAGTCCTGTAGAATGTTTTGTGTCTCTATACGACTCGTAGACGGTATTCTGTTCATAGAATGCCTGTAGAAGGATTTCAGGTCATAGAAGCTTTTCAGTCCATAGAAGTCCTGTATAAGGTATATACACTGGAAATTTAGACCTTTTGACCAAAAGTGTTACAGACAATTTGAAGTCTATCTGCAAATGTGTAGAAGACCAGCAAAATATGGAAGAAAGCTTCTGTTCCCAAAAGTACTGCAGGGACTTAAAGATAACTTTCAAGAGGTTCATAGAAGACATGAAGAGGATTTTTGTCCAAAGAAGATCTTTGGAGGGTTCGTAGGAGGTTTTTTGTCTATATATATGTCTATATTGATGATTGAAAATATGGAGAGAAGCTTTTGTTCCCAGAAGTACTGTAGTGACCTGTAGATAACCTGCGAGAGGTTTATAGAAAACCTGAATAGGAGGTTTTGTCCAAAGAAGACCTTTGTAGACCTGTAGGTGGGTCTTATGTCTATATAAAATTCGTAGGAGATAATCAATCCATAGAACTGCTGAAGGACTTCTTTAAATTTTGTCTTGACACGTAAGAAAGTATAACTTAATAAGGACATACACACTGCAAATCTAGACCCCAAGTGTCTTTGGATGAAATCCGATTCAGACAATTTACAAATGTATGTCCATTCGTAAGTATCACGAAGAAAGTAACCGACTTGGTCCAAACATTGTGACAGGAAAAAAGAAAAGACCGCAAATGCTACCCATCGGTCTAATCCTTCTGACAACTCACACAAAGGTTCACCATTTTTAAAATTTATAAATTGAATGGAGAATTCGATTTAATGCCTAAATTGCACATCGGAATATTTTTACTAAACCTACATTAAATCTGACAGATGGTCAACTGATAAAAACATATACATTTTGGGGAATCCTATGCAGTTTTTGTTGTACGTTGATTTTTTACACAAAATAATAACGCGGTTTGCATGATCACCAGGTGGATATTCGAAGTACCTAACATCGATCAAGTTTTTTTAAATGGAGGTTAGCTGAGGTTAATTTTTAAGATTTTCTGACATCCAGTTAAAACCTTTAAATGTCAAACTATCTGGTAGAAAATGGGGGATACCGCACATTATGAAGAAGCGTGGTAAAATTCAACCAATAAAGACCTTTCAGGAACTATACGAACATCGGAATTTATAACTTTAAATGCAAATTCATCAAAGTTGTTGCTAATCGTTGATTGTATTCCTTTTTCTGAGAGTTTGGACTACTAGCCGGTGTTCTCCGGTTATCATCATTTTATTTGCATTTATTTATTTTAATCTCTTTATGTTCTATATATTTAATCGTGTTGAAGTTAGTCATTCTGTTTGGACCTTGGACTTGAAATTGTTCCCACTCTGTAAATATTAAAAAAATTATAACGGATTAAAAAATATTTTAGTCTAACTTTATAAATTTATTTAATCCATATACACCTATGCATGTTTCCTCTAAGCAAGTTATTGTATTTATTTTTAATCACATTTTTTGCATTAGCAATATATTTATTCGGTGGAAGGTATTGGACACGTCATTGGTCATAAATCAAAAATTCTAATGCATATCTACATGAAATATTACACTGTGCGACAAATTTGAATTTTTTTGATAATTACCGGGAAATTCCAACAGATTATGAAAGAGGGGCTAAAAAAAGAAGACATGTGTATCGGCGTTTTGAAAGTTTACGTCGGGAGGTAACCTAAAAAGGCGGGGCAATTATGAATTTTATGAATGTTTTAACCTTTGCTTTTTTAAGAGTACTTTTTCTCTATGGTGTTATCATTTAGCATTGATTTAATTGATTTTAAGAATAAATTTCAAGTTAACATGGTTTAGATTTTTATAGAAGTAAACGACATGATTTCATTAAAGAGAAATTTTAAAATATTTTTTATGATTTGGGATACGCATACTTTTAAGGACACGTTTCAAGGTATAACAAAGTCAAATGCATGGTTATTTTAAGGAATATTTCTTAAAGCTCAAATACTACAGTGTAGGGTACTCCATTTGCCATAATGCCTACCACCAAATATTAATTTGTTTACATTTTTGATGGCTTCGTGTAATTATAATTTCAATGTATCGCAAATTACAACATTTTCAAATTAGCAACTATAAATGATGGTAAACAATCTTTCCAAAATAACAAAACATTAGGTCTGAACATATCAATCTAAAGGCAATCAAAACAAATCAATTGTATCGATTTGTTGGGAAAACAAAAATAATGTTATCGGCGGTGGCATACAAACCCCAAATCTTATCACACCAACAACAATGATAAGGGCTTCCAAAACAACAAATGTGATAAGAATTTCCCCAGCTCCGCTCCGACAGGTAGTTGGTAGAAAAAAGTATAAAAACAACTGCCAGTATTTATTATAAACTACAAGAATAAAGTTCACGAGTGAGAAGTTCCAAATTAACTACATCAAAAGAAAAATTCTAGAAAAATCAAAACACAAAATGTTTACCAAATCCCTAATAACCCTGACGGTGTTGAGTGCCTTGTTGGTCTCACTGAATGCCAATCCTACAGATGAACTTGATTGCCCACAAATCTGTCCGGCCTTGTATGCTCCACTCTGTGCTTCCAATGGCAAAATCTACAAGGAATTCAGCAATGAATGTGAATTGAAGGCTAGCAATTGTCGTCAAGTGAGGAATTCCATGCAACGTAAGTTTGTCCTATACAACCTACAAATTGAATACAAATTAATATATATTTTTACAAATTGAATAAAAATTAATATATATTTTTTTGTTTCGAAAATTTAGCCTATACTGCCACTTCCATGGACTGGTGCAGCACCGAATTCGTGGATTCTATGGAAAACCTATTTGTAAAACTGAACAATTTGGATTTGACCACTTCGAAGTGTTTGAAACCCTGCGCCATGATCTATCAACCGGTGTGCATTTCCAATGGCAAATATCGTGCCTTGGCCAGCAATGAATGTCTGATGGAGAACATCAATTGTGCTTTGGGTACTGAAAGTAAGTAGTTGTGATAGTAGTTGGAGAAGATAATGTTTTAACATCCCATTTTTGCTATTTGCAGATACCTTCAAAGTTCTTCAAGCTGGAAGCTGTTAAATAAAATTTGGATTTATACAGGAGAAATTAAAAAAATTAATAATAACCATTGACATTGGTAAAAAAATAACTACGGATTTTAATTAAATTTCAATGGTCTGAAACGGTGAACATATTGCACACCTAGCTTTATCGGCTGTAGACAGCTTTAATATAAAAAAGTATAAATATGAAATTTATTACCAGGAGTTTAGAACAAACTAAGCGGCTTCATAAGTTAGAGTTGTGGATACGCGAATACCCTGTAACGACCTCGAGGTCTTCTATAAATCCCCAGGTATTCTACAAACATGACAGTCCATCATGACTTTTTTCTATATGCAATAATAAATAGAACTTCGGATCTTCTATAGATCCAGTATATTCTACATATATAATGGAATGCCTTCGATGGTAGAATAGACAACAGAAGGCTCTTAGACATTCAACGCCGTGAAATAAAGTATTTTAAAAGATATATCCACGCCCTCATATAGCTCCTCAAATATATCCACGCCTTGATATACCTCCTCAATAAATATCCTTAAAAAAATCCACGTCTTGATATAGCTCCTCAAATATATCCACGCCTTGATATAGCTCCTCAATAAATATCCTTAAAAAAATCCACGCCTTGATATAGCTCCTCAAATATATCCCCGCCTTGATATAGCTCCTCAATAAATATCCTTAAAAAAATCCACGCCTTGATATAGCTCCTCAAATATATCCACGCCTTGATATAGCTCCTCAATAAATATCCTTAAAAAAATCCACGCCTTGATATAGCTCCTCAAATATATCCACGCCTTGATATAGCTCCTCAATAAATATCCTTAAAAAAATCCACGCCTTGATATAGCTCCTCAATAAATATCCTTAAAAAAATCCACGCCTTGATATAGCTCGTCAATAAATATCCTTAAAAAAATCCACGCCTTAATATAGCTCCTCAATAAATATCCTTAAAAAATCCACGCCTTGATATTGCTCCTCAATAAATGTCCTTAAAAATCCACTACTTGATGTCGCTCCTCAATAAATGTCCTTAAAAAATCCACTACTTGATGTCGCTCCTCAAAAATATTTCTTAAAAGTCTACGCCTTGCAGTAGCTTATCTACCGATTAGTTTAAAAAACAGAGAGATAACACTGAAAATATGTAAAAAAGCTGTTAAATTCTCAGGCCTTAAATTTAAATACCTACCATAATAAGGCGGATATTCAAAATACCTAAAATCGATAGGAATTTTTATATGGAAAGGACACAAGAAATACAAAACCAGAGAAACTCAGTTTTGAAAATTGGACTGAGACGTTGAACATCCTGAAAATGGCGAGTAACCTTCATATGTGACCTAAGTAGGAACATGGTCTTATATTTTTGTTTACTAACCAAGGTCCAAGAATGTCATAATCAATCATTTCATAGGGACACTTCGGTATGCCGACCCGTAATGAAGCTCGATCTTTAGATGGGGGCTATACAAAAAGATCTACGGACATTTAACATTTTTGGTAGAATCCACAAAATATCGAATAACAACCAGGGACTAATATTTAGTAAGAACATTTTACAACCCCATAAGAACCAAAAATATATAAAAATAGTCAATTCTTTTGAAAAACGTATCTGAAATCCTCAAAAAACGAAAATTGTGGGTATCGTTATCATTATAACTGCACTAAAACGTGGGCCGATATTGATTAAGTTATGGCTTGAAATAGGCTTGGTAAAAGTAATAGGTTCTACAAGTTTAGTTCAAATCGGATATTCCGTTTGCCTGATACTGGATTTATAAATTGTACCCATTCATTTTAGGACGTGATATTGCCCTGGCAAAAATAATAGGTTGTGTACAGTTTGGTTCGAATCGGATAGTCCGTTTGCCTGGTATTGGATTTATAGATATTTTATATGTTCTACAGAAGGAATATAATCTCAAAATATACATACTACAGCTACACATGAAGATATGAAGCTATATCATGAAGTATAATAGGGTAGCCATCAAAGAATGATCAAGCCATGTCTCCGAACATTCACCTATGGTGAATTTATTCCTTCTGATTCAGCACTTTTGATTGAATAAACTTAAAAAATCGATAAAATTTTACCCGACCTTAAAAAATATTCTATAAAAATTTCACACTTAAAGCCCGAATTGCCCTTGAAAATAGTCTTAAAAAAAAAAATAATAATATATATATATATATATATATATATATTCTTTTATAAACCACGCTTAAAATCCGGACAGAGCTTAAAAATATATTTAAAAAAGTCCTTGAAAATCTTGTTTAAGGGGACCCCCCCCATTCTCGGTGTCAAAATTTTTGTTGATATAATTCGAATCTACACTGATTAAGGAATGTCTCTACAAAATTTCAAGTGAAAATCTCAAGAAGTCTTGAAGATATATCCGATTTATTGTATCAACATTAAGTGACGGCTAAAGGGCTTCTCAAACTTTAAACGCGTTTTACTCTAAACATTTTTTTGTGAATGGCGGGCACGATAACTCAAAAACCAATAATCCAATCGGTTCCAAATTTTGCAGCGTTTCTCTGAAAGTGTATAGCTCTCGTATGAACTAGGATGGTTTTTGGTAAAAAATCGGCGATTTTCCAAAAAAATTTTTTCAAAGGTCCACCATTTTGATGGTTTCATATACTCACCAAGCTCTTTCATCCCCAATGGGAATCTTCCACTTCCCAGATCATGACCTCGATTTTGTAGCACATTGGTGGTAAGAGAGAATGGTAGAGAATTTCTAAAATATAAAACCAAAGCCAATTTTGGAGATAATTGATGCCTAAAATCTGCCAAATAGCTCAAAAAAGCAAAGCAATTTTAAAAAGGCGGTCATCACTTGTGACAAATGCATAACCCGAAACAGCGGGCGTCTGACTTGACTCCAATAACCCCTTTTTATTTCTGCACATCAGAAATGTGTGGTACACAATTTTCGTCCGAAGATACTGTTGGAGTGTTAAAAAAGTTTTGAAGGTGTCTTAATCGGAGTGGAAAAAGTACAACGACAATTTGGTTTCAGCGCATGGAAAAGAGTGTAAATATTGCTGCAGAATGCTTAAAAAAATCAACAACGACACAATTTTTTTAATGGTAAATATTCTACCTACCCCCTAAGGGTTATTTTAGATTCTGAACACCTTCACTAAATTTGTATAAATTTGGCAACTGCAACATTTTTGAAAGTTGCCATTAACATAGAACTTTGACACAGAATGAGTTACTTCCAAAAGTTATTTAACATTCGCTGATTTATAATTACTAACCCGAGAATATATGTCCTGAATGACCTTCATGACCTTATGTACAACCCATTGATCTTCGCTCGAGTTTGGCATTGGCCAGTTTTGTCATGCGAAAGTATCAAAAAAAAAGTGAAGTACACGTGTAGCCATGTCCAACTCGAGCTTAGCACACTTGAGGAACGAGTCCACTACACAAGCCAGCCAAATAACCACAAAACAGTAGGCGTTGTCCTTTCACTTGAAGACAGCCAATAACACTCAAAAGAGTCCTCAATTCTCATTTAAGGTGTTTTCATATTAACGGCAAAAAATAAAAACAAAAACCAAAGCAATAAAATTATTATTACAATGACCTCTCTTGATCCTTAGGTCATGATAAGTGCTGAGGTGAACACAATTTTCCCACGTGCCCGAACAACATTTGGAGTAATATGCGTGGGAACGTTGTAGGAGAACATTCCACGACGCCTAGTTTTATTAGTTTTGTCTGTCTGTCTACCGAAGATAAACAAAGAAACCAAAAGACCAAACGATCGAACGAACTATTTTCCCATGATCCTGCATCTCTTAGGCATCCTTTTTTACACATTGCGCTGAAGGAAACAAACAACAAAAACAACAACAACAACAGATACACCAGCAACTAAAGTAATCTCAATTTTATGGCATTGAGATGCTGTTATTCTTCGGTTACCAAAAAAAGTAGGAAAAAATTCCCACACTCTCTGCGAGCAAAGACAGATGCATTTTAAAGGAATGATTTCCAATGGGAAACAACTGTGTGTTTTGGTTGTTGTACAAAAAGAAATACCTGCAGCACATCCTTCGCTTCTTCTTCTATGGCTCAAATACAGTTAGGCACAGATGAATGATTTTGTTGTTTTTATTTGTTTAAAGGACCAATTGTGTCTGTGCTGAGATATCAATTTTTGCTATTTTGAAAGCAAACTTTGAGCGAAATTTAAGAAAAGAAATGTCATGCAAAACTAATAGAGGTTATTTGCATTTGTTAGCAAGAGAGTGTGACAACATTAAAGGGCATGTCAATAGAAGATTTAACCTTGTAATAGCTGGATATTCAAATAAAGGGCAACATAAGATATTTTAAGGAAATTTAACAACGTTCGTAGGAAAACACCACAAGAAACCGTTAAGAATAGAACTGCAAGAAACTTTGCCCTTGGAGACATGCTTATGAACACAGTACCATCTCCTTCTTTGAAATTCTTTTAATAAAGTCAGTGAGAAGCCCTAGCACAAAATAAATGACCCCCCCCCCCCCCCCCCCCCATTCTCGGTGTCAAAATTTTTGTTGATATAATTCGAATCTACACTGATTAAGGAATGTCTCTACAAAATTTCAAGTGAAAATCTCAAGAAGTCTTGAAGATATATCCGATTTATTGTATCAACATTAAGTGACGGCTAAAGGGCTTCTCAAACTTTAAACGCGTTTTACTCTAAACATTTTTTTGTGAATGGCGGGCACGATAACTCAAAAACCAATAATCCAATCGGTTCCAAATTTTGCAGCGTTTCTCTGAAAGTGTATAGCTCTCGTATGAACTAGGATAAAGCCAATCGGTGAAGATCTTCCTTATTTTTTAACATGGTTTTTGGTAAAAAATCGGCGATTTTCCAAAAAAATTTTTTCAAAGGTCCACCATTTTGTTAATTTTAGAGCGAAGTCAATAATCCTAGTTCATACGAGAGCCAGACATGTCCTCTTTCTAACACAGTTGGAATTTTCGGATTCCGATGTTCCAGTGAGGAGTTATCATGCCCGCCATCGAAAATGTGGACTTTTCTTTGCACCCAAAAAACAACAACAACAATTTTTTGTAAATTATTTTTCTTCCTTTTTAAATCTTCAAATATATATGTGCCAAGTTACAAACCTTAACAAGCATTGGTAACAATTTTTAGGGTCATAGCTCTTGTATTAAAACCTGACTTCACAAGGATCTTCAATGTATGGATTATCTTTAAAAGTATGAAAGATCTGTTAAAATAGTATCTCTTAATAATAAGGTATTGTGTTTTCAGAATATGAGCTGGCAAATATATATTTCTAAGTCCACTGAGGGTCTTCTACACATCAATGCTTATCTGAAGGTAAACATTACTCCTGAATATCAATTAAAAATATATTTGCGAATATACTCGAAGGTCATGTATGGGCACATGGTTCCAAAAAACCTCCAGAATTATTCTGCGATTATCATATAAAAAGGAGATATCCACTAAGCTTAAAGAGGTCCGTATAGGTAAGAAGAATTCACATACAGTCCTCTAAAGGTATGTATGAGCACTATAGAAGTTCGTAAAATTAATGAGTATGCCTTCTGAAGTCTGTATAATTAAGAAATAGATTTAAAGAAGTTCCATTAAGATAGGATGAGCTCTGTAGAGGTTTATTTCTGTTACTTTTAACCGGGTCCTTATAAGTAACAAGAACTTTCGTACAGACTTCTGTAGGTATGTGTGATCACTATATAGGTCCTAAAATGAAGGAGAATTCCTGCGTATAATATAAAAATAAATGAATAGATTCGATTGAGTTAGGAGGATATCTGTAAAGTTCCGTTTAGTTAAAGAAAATATTTGTTAAAGCCGTTATTGATAAAGAATAGATCAATAGGGGTTTATATAGGTATGAAGGCCTTTATATGTATGGAGTAGACCTGATAGGTAAGAACAGGTTCCTATAGATATATGTGCTTTACAGAGGTCCGTAAAACAAAGAACTCCTATCGTCTTGCCCAAAGTTCCGTTTAGTTAAGTAGAAGTTCTATTGAGTGAAAAGGAAAACTTATGAGGTTCTTATAGGTAAGAAAAATTTACTCTGATGCGAAATGAGGTCTTCATAGGTATGGAGAACTCCAATGAAAGTCTTCGGAATTTGTATTTACACTTTTCAATAAGCGGAATACTTTAAGAAGGTTACCTATAGACAGGAGATTTCGTATATACCTCCAAAAATCTTTCGAGATTATTTTATAGAGAATGTCTAAGAAAGATATCCAGAAATATTTCAAACAGTCTTCTATAGACTCAAATTCGTTTCACATATGAAATAAACTTTTAATGATGAAACAACCTTCTAAATGCGTACCTTACTTTATAGAAGTCCTTTGAAGTTATTACTTTTTTAAAGACCCCCCTTACACGTCGTATTCTATTAAGAGACTTCGTATGTACAACTTTTTTCAATCACTCCTTTGTAGAAGGCCTCTCAAATGACGCATAGCTATTAACAAATTATCTATATAAAAAGCAAATAATCCCAGTCATGGGAGACCTTTTAGAGGTGTTCCGAAGTTCTGCTATATTGAAGGAATCGTCAAGGTCCGTATAAGAAATGTTTATATGAGACCGTTATATTTATGGAATTTCTCACATCTTCAGGAGACTTCTAAAAATTATTGTTCCCCCAAATTCCCCTCCCACATAGTAAAAAGATCAGTAAAAATGTATGTTTAAAAAAATTAGAATATTTTCTAATTATTTTTTATTCTTCTTCTCCGTAATTTTCTTCTTCTCTTTTGTTTTGCACTGGGTTTGTTGTCTTCTGTTATTGTTGTTTGTTTGTTTACAATTATTCTCACTCTCAAATTAGATAACATTATCACAAAAAATATTTAAATATTGCATATTTTACAAGTTATAAAAATAAAATAAACTAAACTAGCTATAACAATTACAAATCTACACAAAAAAATCTAAGTTTTAATTTTACTAATGTAGTAAAAAATGGGTTTTTTCTCTAATAAAAAATATTTAACAGTTTGAGATCCTCTCTATGTAAAAAAAGGTAAATTAAAACTAAAATTTAATTCTAGAATTTTGGCAACGCTCTGCAGGAATTCAGGATTTCAACACAAGGTTGCATTTTTGTTGGCAAATGCAGCTCTGTTGAATGTTCTTAACACATGGTTGCATTTTCGGCAAATTGCCAGGAATTTTGCCAATACCAATTGCGCAACAGCTGTTCATCGATTTCGCTGTTGCTGCCGCTGCTGCTGGAGCTATCGGACCAAACAAAGCAACCATCTTCGGCATTGATGAAATTGAAATCTTCATCGAGCAGGAGGTTCTGTTGTTGTTGTTGATGTTGGCTGGATGGGGTGGTGGTGGTGGCTGAGGGGGAGATGTTGATGTTGACTGAGGTAGACAATTGTTGCATTTGGTGATATTGCGAATGTTGACAGTTGCGACCATAGACACAATCGCTGCTGCAGGTATTTAGGGGGGTTTTCTCCACACTAACTCGGCTAATGAATTCTTGGGTATCCTTGCTGCTGACTTTGTGGGTGGTGGCGGAGGAGGTGCTGGTAAGGGGGCTGATTTCTTTTACTTCCGTTTCCGGCAAACGCAATTCGGGCATTTTTTGTTCAGCAACTTCTTGTAGTCTCTGCTCGGCACCGAATAATAAATCCTTGGGTGTGCTGTGGCAGATCTGGGCATTGTTCAGATTCACATTATTTGGTATGGAACGATTGCTCTTGGCGGCTGAGTTTGCAGATTTCAGGGCCATCAGGCGTAGGATGGGCTTCCACATTTTCTTCAATTTGAATTTATCACTTTGTTGTTGTTGCAGCAACATTTGTTGCTGTTGTTGGTGGTTTGACATTTTCATGGCGGAATTTGATTGATTGATGCAAAGGTTTGCCAAATTTTTTGTGTCGGTATACATGATTGGTTGTGTTCTGTTTCTAACTTTCTAATTTTTTTAAAGTTCTTCGTTTCCGTATTCTTTAATAGAGAAATTGTAATTTCTTTTTTATTCGTGTTTATTTTTTTTTTTTTTTTCTTTGGGTGAGCGATGTTGACGCTGTGAAAGTTAACGATGAACTGATGCTGCTTTGGTGAGCACACTTAATTTTATATGACGACCTGTGTCGATCAAAAAATACCAACCAACCAACAGCAGAAAGATCGTCTTAACTCGCACACACACACGAACACAGCCATGCACACTCACTCGCCAAAGAAACGGACACGTACCCATGAGCAGAAGTAGTGGTGGTGCTGCTGATGGCCCTGCACACTGTGAGAAAGAAACTGCACTCACTTCCCATCATCAATGGCATGCACATTCTAACAGGAATCACTACCACCACCACTACGACCATCAACAATCCATTGCCACTTGGATGGATGGCCGACCGGCCGGCCGATCGCTTGGTTCGCTGCTAGGTGATGTGTACATTTCCCATGGTTTTTGGCTTAAGAGTCGCCTCAAATAACCTGTAAGGGCAACAACAACAACCAAGAAGCACATTGCCTGTGCAACCGTGCCAAGCCAAGCAGCAACAACAACGCCAGCAGAATGCAGGTAGCACACACATCGATGGCTGTCATCGTTCCACAAGCAACCATCCGACCGACCGACCAACAACAGATTAACAGCAAAACGATGGGAAAAAATATCCCATGAAACTCTCTTTCATACTTCCACCGGTGTTCGTCGATCGGCGTTGCTATTGTTGTTGTTGTCTGCATGTCTTTAGGGTCCGTCTGTCCATGAGTTAGTCCCAAAAAAGTGTGGGAAACAGTTTTAATTTTTTCTTCAGTCAGTTTCTTCTTCTTTTCTTCGGGGCTATGTGGCTGCTGCTGTTGTTGTTGTAGCTATTTCGTTAACCTTACCTTTACCGTGTTCTGACAAAATGTTGTGAAAAAAACAGTAATATGTGTGTTTACCAATCAGAGTCAGTAGCGTGGTAGCCCAAAGGCAAGGGGTCGTAATGAGAGGTCGAGATAAAAGAGAAGATCGGAACGTGGTTATTTAGTGTTAATGATTTTTCAAAGGCGATCTTCGAAAGATTCGGCACACTCTGGCACGTACTTTTAGCAGGGATTTTTCTTCAGATAAAATACAGTGTGAAAATATCGGACCTTTCGAAGTTATAGGAAGCATCCTGGGGGTACTATGCTGGCATAGGGTCTCGAGAAGGTAGGCCATCTTCTGATTTTGCTGAGGTTCTTATATAAACCAAAAGTTTAAAGATTTCGTTCATATACAGAAGACAGAAAGGCTTCTTCGACCACAAGACCGACTCAAGAATGCAGTCCATAAGTCGTCGATAGGCCGGAGATCTCTTATAGACCACCAGGAATTTTCTGAAAGTATCTTAACATAAAAACATTAGAATATGATCGATAGACAGATCCCACGAGCTCTGATTGTACATATATAAGATTGTCCATATACTGAAGACGGAAAGGCGTCCTCGATCACAAGACCGACTCAAGAATGCCGTCCATAAGTCGTCTGTAGGCCGGAGATCTCTTATAGACCTCTAGGAATCTTACGATATTATCTTAACATAAAAATAAACAAACATTCAGAATATGATCGATATGCAGAAAATCTCCAGAACGCCTGATATAAATCTTTAGAATTTTTTTAATGATCTTGTATAAGTAAGTGATCCTAAGAGCTCTGCTACTGATATAAGATCCACCGCAGATCTTAGGCAGATTAAGTAGATCTTCTAAAAATGAAAGAAACCCATAAAGAACCTTTTAAATGTTTCTATTGCCCCCGTAGATTTCTTTTATACATGAATGGTCCTCTGCACCTGAATTCTTTTATAGAGAGATGATCCTAGATATATTCTGCAGATAACATTCCTCGGGTCGTGAGGTATTCTACAAGCTGGTGATCCTAAGAGCTTTGTCATTTATATATGACCCACCGCACATCTTAGCCAGATTAGAAGATCTTCTAAAAATGAAACAAACCCAGAAAGACCATTTTAAATTTTTCTATAGGCCCTCTAGCTTTTTTCTATACATGGATGTTTTTCGGGTCCTGAGGTATTCTATAGAGAGACGGTCCTAAGATGTGTTCTGTAGATAACATATCTTCGGGTTCTGAGGTCTTATATAAAAATCCTCTTAGGCTTCTTATGAATAGAATATATGATATATTTGGAAATTCTCTTGGGGTACTCTATAACTAGGAATCCTTCCAGAGGGTATTTGTAGCTAGAAGTTCCTCTTGAGGTCCTTTTTATCAAGCTAAGGTATTTTGAAAAGCAGTGGAAGCCAGGACATGCGTTTGTATACTACCTTAAGGGTATTTTTTTAACTTAAGATACCTTACAGAGGACTTCTGAATAAACTCCTAAAACCTTTTCATAAGATTTCCCAAATATATCCTATCCTAATCATAGACCCTTGTGATGTCTTATGCATATAGAAGACCATCTGGAACAACAAAGACATCCCCAAAGGCCTTAGGTACCTTAGCGAAGTCTTTCTACAAGCGGGTGAGCTAAGATATGATATTCTATAGACTGAGCCCACGATCTTCGCACGGAGTTCGGTATACTTCTATAATTTCTCCTGAAATCATTTACCAATATGAGACGAGTTTATGGTCTTAACAAAATAATTGACCCCTTCCATAATTCATTTGACACGTCACTGCATAATAATAACCAAAATAAACTCCCCGATAAACTGACGTCACATAAAAAAAGAGTTTCAATAACTGCAGGAAATGTTCAGCATCCCGTCTGTGACCCTAACAGAGATGAGATTTTTTTTCTCGACGTCAAAGTATCATCATCAGAATACAGGGGCCATAGCAGAGCAGCAGTGGGGATAGGATGTAGCTTTAAGATGAAATTTGCCATTAAAATGGGGGTTTTATGATAGAGGCCAACCAGAATTATGATGAAATAATTGAATGATGGCCATAAACATCTCAAGAACCTTTGTGCTTTACTTAATTAGAGTGTGTGTGTGTATGCGTGTGTTTGTATTCGCAAGGAAGGAAACTGGACCTTTAGCCTTGATGATGTTACTGTTTTGATTTTTTATTAGTGAAATTTTAGAGAACACTTCACAACCAAAAGGAACTGTAGCATGAGAACAGAACATGGCAAAATTCACCCTGTAATTTGAGTAACAACAACTTCGAAAAAAAAGAACGAACAGGTGGGTGCCTTTGCAACCACTTGGCAATGGACAAACAACAACAAGAACAAGCAAGTGCACCATAAAACACTTGTGTCTGTACAACATACCATCACAGCAACAACACACAAAAAAACAACAACGCAATTCTGCCCTGCCAAACAATATATCCTCCTATCTTTGATTCTTTTTCCCGTTCCGTTTCTAAAAAAAGGGGGAGATTTTCATGCATTGCTGCTGTTGTTGTTGGTGTAGTTTTTTGTTGTTCCTGTTGCCGGTTTCGTGTTCACTGCAAAGAAATGCCAAAAGAGGAAGTTTATAACTGTGGGAACTAATTTCGGACCTTAAAGAATAATAATCAGTGTTTTGGTTGGTCATGGCATAGCTGTTGTTGACGCTGCAGCCGATGTTGCTGCTGCTGTCGCCGCCCTATGTTCACGAAGCAGCGCAGCAATGGAATATTACGATCACCTTAATCGAGTAATACTTGTTTAGCGGTTCCCCCTCCCTAGCAGGAAAAACCAAAAAAAAAGAGCTGAGAAATAAAACGCAATATATTTTTATGATTATTTTTGTTTTGATTTGTACGAAAACAAAAACGACACGGCGGCGTTAAACGATGGACTGACTGACTACAACCCCGAAAAAAAATCCGCAGCAAGCGATTTACTCACATTCTCATGCACAAATTAAAATTACAATGCCATGCAACAATGGTCCGAGAAGTGGCAGGCAGTGTTGAATGTGGACAGTGGCTCAAAGAAGTAACGAAGAAGACCATTCAAAGTTTTTTTAGATGCAAGGTATTTATATAAAATTGCTGTAGATGACTTTTCAAGAAGTAAGCCCCTTCAGAGGCTTTCTATAGATAGAATCCCTGCATAGGTATTACAGATAGGTTTGTTATGTATATAAGAGTTCATTCAGAGGCCCTCAAAGACCTTCTATAGATAGAACACACTTCAGAGCAGTTCCATAGGCAAGAATACATTCAGAGGCCTATAGTCAATATAATTTTATAAAAGAGATTCTAGAGGTGTCTCATATATAAAAAAGAAATCTGTAGAGGTCTTCAATATAAAGCTAACCTCCGAAGGGAGACTCCTCAGGTATAAACCCTTTAAAGATCGTGTCTGGGTTTACAGATAAAAAACCCTGCAGCGTTTTTCTAATGATAGAAGTTCACTCAGATGCCTTCCATATGGAAGACTCCTCAGAGGTGTTCCATAGGTAAAAGGACATACAGAGATCTTATATCGTCAATATAATTTAATAATGAAAAAAATCTATATTCTGCTCTCCGGTATTTCTTAACTCTTCTGAAAAGAGAACCTCCTAAAACCCCCTTTTATACGATTTCCCAAAGATAGCCTATCCATATGTATATTTAGAGCATTTTTGTATGCGAACTTAGAGGTAATTTTTTAACTTAAAAGACTTTAAATAACCTCCAGAATAATTCTGAATAGATAATCTCCTTCAATAGTCCCTTCAGAGATGTTCTGTAAATTAAAACCCCTGCTAGATGAAAGCCCCTCCTGAAGTAGAAAGTTCTCCAAAGATCTTCTGTTAATGGGAGACCTTCAGGCGGATTTTGATACGTTTCTTCTATAGATAAAGACCCTTCAGAGACCTTTGTATATACAGACTCTTCGGATACAAAACTTCCATTTCCATAGATAAAAGGACATAGAGAGGACTTCCAACGTCAGTATAATTTAATAATGATAAAAAATCGAGAGGTGTTCAATATTCGGCTCGTCAGAG